ACCGTAACGAACCGTAAAACGGTAACGTAACGGAGTACAACGAAGTACCCTAACCGGGTACGTAACGAGTACTCGTACTCCTACCTACTTAGGTAGTCTCTCTCTCTCTCTCTCTCTCTCTCTCTCTCTCTCTCTCTCTCTCACACACACACACACACATATTCATGCTTTTGGAGGTTGTAAAGTGTAAAATTGTAAAGCAACTTGACATGCTTTTGGAGGTGTATTGTTTGAAACAGTAAACAAAGCAGAATCATAATTTATTTAAAAAAAAAAAACTTCCTTGTGTTGTAGTAGTTTTTGTGATGTCTCGATATAGTATTTTTCTATTGTATTTTGTGGCATTATTGTTACAAAAAATACACCTGAGAGGAATATAGAAATATTATTCATAAGTTAGATAAAATATAAATAATAAGTAATATTTTTATGCTGACGTTTTATTGAGTTTTGTGGTTTTATTAATTAAATAATTGTAAAAAACATGTTGCCTACCTAGTAAACTTCTAGCATGTGATGATCCCTCGCTCCCGCACCAACTTTGGCTCCTGTTTCCACAAACTATACATTTAGTTTAAACAATTTTTCCTAAAAGCATTTTTTTCTTAATTGAAACTCATTTTGAATATTGTCTTAAATGTCATCACAAAAAAGGGTACATCACACCTTACTTTTAACTCGTTTTGGCTTAATAAAAAAGGGAAAATGGATATCGCCATAAATCTCTCATTAAAAATAGTCCCTTTTTAAAATAAATTAGATCAAGCTCTCAAAAAGCAAACTCGCTCTCTTTATGGTTTTTGTTAGGTTTCCTAATGATCTAGTATAATCTTTTAAAAACTTATTTATTTAATGTAACCGGTTCATTCACTTTGAACCAACAAATTAACAAGAATGAACCAGAACGGATGATTTGATCAGAATGAACTAGACTTGCTTCTCCACATAAGGTCCACTTTTTACACAGCGCTCTACAAACAAGATGCCATGTGCATGGTAATTATAATTAGGTTAGTGGAATTAACCGAAGGGATCAATTACCTCAACGTTTCACAAAGGCAAGTATCACTACATAGATGCCCCTCCAGATCCACAACACATTGCTGAAAGCCCAAATGACATAAAACTCCTCCAAAACACATTAATCCATACAATCTTGGGATAAGAACACTCTCCTCTCCTCTTAGGCTGGGATCGAGAAGGGCATTTTAATGCATGTATATGCAGTAGGTGTACAATTTCTATAATAGTGCATTGGTAAGTGTTCATTAATACCAAATGTAATGGAGGATCTCTCTAAAATGCAACAGTATCCCCCGTAAATATAATAGTTGATATTATCTAGGATCAAGCATCAGCAAATGATGCCAAAACCTCCAAGCCATTCACCCAAGAGAGCTTTATTTGGCATTTCATAACTTGAAACCCCGCAGTCGCTTAGATCGCTCCAAAGTGGGCAACTCTTTAAACCAGATTCTCATACATTTACGTCGACGGTAGGCCTCACCACAAAAAGGCAAGGCTCATAATAAATTCATGGGCGAGGACAACCAATAATACAGCCTCTAGTTCCCCTCCCCCACTCTAAATCCTTGTTATCAAACACCTCAAATATGTACAAAGACCTGAGACCACCTCATATGCTCTAAAGAATAAACTAGAGGCAATTGATGCAAGAGAATGCCTCTTATTTTTTATTTTGTCCCACCAAATTTTAAGGATGTATTTTCAGGATTTTTTTAATATATATTTAGGGGTTTTTCAAGCTTTTTAGAAATTTTTGAGATTTTTTATTTTTTTTTAAGATTTTAGGGGCTGTTTCAAAAAGTAGTTGTGCCCTTTTTTACTTTATTTTGAGGGATTATCAGATTTTAAATATTTACTGTAATTTCGTTTTTAAAATGTTCATTTTTTCAAATTAAATAATCGTAAAGAATGCATTCCTGACCTAGGGAGAGATTCTAGCATGTGTTGATCCCTCGCTCCTGCACCCACTCCTACTCTTGCGCCCACTTCCAAACAACGATAGCATGCATATCATAAAGATTGTAGAAAAAAGAAAAGCAAGCTCAAGCCAGCATGGCTTGGTTGGGTTTGGCTCATTACTATAAATGAGACAAGGGAACACAGCTTAGCTCCGCTTCATTAGCCAGTAAATCCTGTTGATATGAGCAAAGCAAAGCTGGCTTCTGAGCCTACTCAGCTACCATGAACTGCCTAAATCAGGAGGTATTCCACTAGGTCCATCTCGGTGCTGTAAATCAACACGAGGTTGTCAACACCTGAAGGCATCCCCTTACGCCTAATGACCACCATTAATAACCAACATTGGGGCGAACACTCGATGCATTCAGGGTAGCCATAGGGATTCATCAGTTTCAGTGGTCAAAATTGGGAAACTAGCTTGGCTGTTCATGGTATGATGGATGTTAACTTCCCCTAATTTACCCCAGTCCCAGACACAATTTAGAGTTCTGTATCTCCTCAATGAAAGATCCTACACGCCAACTTGAAGAACACAGAGCCCCAGCATGATTGATAAGAATGCAGTTAAGACAGAATATGGATGGTCACCTAAAGCTCAATAACATGCCAAATATCTTCGCTAAGGCTCTGGGAAACAAATAATAATATCTTCCTTCACTTAATGAATATAACCAGCCTAGAAACCCAACCAAACATTTGAAAAAGACTTGCCAATGAAAGAGCTATCATAGTTAACAAAAAACTAAAGAAAGTCCCAAAATCATTAAAAGAACCTCATATTTATTAGTTACTTTTGCAAGTGACCTATATTATGTTGAAGGACAGCAGATTTCTCAGCAAGATGCGTCAGCTAGATCACAATCACATTGTTCCAAAAAACATTTGTCCATTGTATTTTTTATTTTATTTTATTTTTTGATAATGTTAACCTCATTTGTCCATTGTATTTGAAAGAACATATCCACAGTTCAGCTCTGGGCCTACTATCAGGGACTACTAAGCATAATATGATTATGGGCAAGTTATAGCAGACAAACATGCATGACATGTACAAGACTAAGCTCCAAGCCAACTCATAGTAGTGTGCTGTACTAAACTTCAGACTTGATGCACCATTAGAGTCAACATAGAGCAGCAGGCATACAATGCAAGGAAAAAAAATAAGAGCAGATTAGAAAAACTAAGGGACGCAATGTACCTCAGTTGAACTTAATATCAATGACCGGAACATGCAAATGCACAATCAATTCTGCTTCCTGAGAAGTTTACTGGCAATTCCACATCTCCTTGACCCTGCTTCCTTCTTACTGCATTGACATTTTCAGAAATCTGTCATGAATCATGACTATCCTGATCATCATTGAGCACTTGAATTTTCTGACATGACCAGGAGCCCAGAGCAAAGGATAACAAAAAATTTGAGTTTCCATACACAGTAATTGCGGAAAGAAGCTTGTCATTTGAACAGGCCACAGAAAGGGAAAAGGGCTAATATAACAAAGAGAAACCAGAAACTGGGAGCACCTACGAGGTTATTTAAAGCAAAAGACCGCATAAACAATCTCGACAAAAATAATGTGCCAGATACCCAAAGATATAAGTTGACTTCCTTCATGTGAATAAGAGGGAGGGCTGTTGAATAATACTGACCACAGTAAAATATCTAAGCAGCATGAAGGTAGATGTTCATGCAGGAACATATTCCTCAAAAACTGAATAGTTGATATGGTTCGATTTAGAATCCATCTAAAATCTTTAGAAACGTTTGCTGATGCCACAAATTACAACTGCAAATGTATCGAAAGAGATAATTCAATAACAAAGCCCTTCCTCACTAAGTGCAAAAACATGCCATGTCATTCTTTTTGACAAGTACATGTCATTCTTTTTGACAAGTACACGTCATTCTTTTTGACAAGTACAAGGAGACTGAATTTGCAGTCAAACTTTAAATAAGTTAACATACAAAAGGAAAATAACCCAGGAAGTGAATGAGTTCAATGCAACTCTGAGGGAGAATTGTGAAATTCACGTTCTTCGATTCCACACCAGCCAGCACCAGAATAAATGAATTATCTTCATGTGATGCCTTTTCCTTTGGCAACAAGTATAACTGTTCGTGTTGACTATGTGATGAAAAGAACGTTCAAAAGAAATTCGACTTCCAGTTTTTTCATCAACAAATACCAGCATACCCACATGCACTAATCTAAAAACTAAAAAATAAAAAATATAAATAAAAAAGAAATCCAAATAAGAGCTCGAAATGAGTTTATAAACTATATGCATTAAGGGGGGTGAGCAATGATTAAATCATTGCAATTCACAGTTTTACACTTGCATAATTGAATCTTCCAAAGATAAGATGCAACGTCTCAAATAAAAATTAATAGTTCTCCTTAAACAAGGTTGGTAATGGAGCGTGATAATTTAACTGAAGTACGCATTGGAGACAAGTATTAGAGGACCCTTCATAGGGAAAATAACTCCAAACCAGCTGCCAGTTACTATTTCCTATTGATTTAGAGAATACAAATTTACCCTCCCCATGAATTAACAGGAAACAGCACAATGATTAAATCGTCAAAATCATCCAACATGTGCAAGTGGCAATTAGGATTATCAAATCTTCCTTCAAATCGAAATGCCAAACATTGAACATCCTATTGGAACACTGCAGCTCAAATGCCTCACATATCCGATTCAGTTAACATGATTCTAAAAAATAATCAAGACCAATTAATTCTAATACTTTTCCCAGTGAGAAATGATCCATCATGGATGGGAAGAATAATTTGCATGTGTATTTCATAATCCATTTACAAGATTTCAGCAATTTACCTTTTTTACATGTTTTGCCTTCGAAATCGTCTGATATCAAAAGCTAATGTCTCCTCCATTCCACACCAACCGCCTCTTGCAAACACAGCGTGAAGATCAAAAGTACAGGTGATGCAAATACTATCGAAAATATCCATTCTACTTTGGTAGTTAATGGCAAGTTATAAGAGCAATGTTTTACAATGTTCTGAAATTAAAATATGTTACATACACATTTCCAATGAAACCGATTTTACCAATGGAAGACCATTATGCCACACCCTGCAGTGCAAGCTGCATCCGGGACGAATTTTTTATGATAACGGGAGCTGAAGAACAAAACAGGTCCTGTAACATAAGCCACTTGCTGGAAAAACCAAGTGAATATCTCACTCCACATAGAACCCCCATCTGTGGAGTCCGCTAAACAACAGCATGAATCTCCTCACCTTGCAGAAGTTCTCACTATCTGCATGTTGTCGTGCACTGCACACATCTCACCCCAGAGGCAACTTCAAGGCAACCACAGAAAATAGACAATGAGATCACAGTACAAAAATTGCACCAACATCATATGGGAAGTCCTTAACCAAACAAACCGCGTGTCCCCAGTTCCCTCTGCTGCAGTTCTTTTCTTCGTTGCTCTTCCAAAGGGTCAGGGCTCTTCATCACTCTCCTCAGACGCCTAAGATATATAACATACATGGAATAAACATTAGTTGCTTGATTATACCTGGAAAGTGAAAATCTGGTAACATATAAACTACGGAGACAAGCAGGGATGTCAGTGTCATACGCAGGAGAGGTTTCAGATTCTGAATGCCATTAAATTAGGATTTGGCAGTATGGCAACTACTCAGTTTCATATAAACATAAATTCAAAGAGACATCATAGACCAGAATGACTTGGTGTGATTCAATTTCACAACAAAAAAGAACCATGCCAAAATTAAACCAAATCCCAAAACAAATAGTACACCTTAGTAGCCATAAAAATGAAAATCAATCCTTGAAGATGTTCAAGGTTAAACGTGACAATTTCATAAAAAGAAAATGACTGTCAAGTCTAAGTCAACAACATCTTCAATAATCTAGTAAGAAGGACAAGAATCCAGAGAAAGACGACATGAGCTGTTGACATATCTCCAACCAAAGTATGCCTCACAAGTAGAAGAAGCAAGGCAACATAATTCGGTACCTATCATGAGCATGTTGAGGTGGATATGTCGGCATGAACTCCTTCGTTTGCGGCAAAGGAACCTCACGGAACCACTCATGTTGGAGAGCAGCCTCAGCAGTAATCCGCTGCATTCAGGAAAATTAAAGCAATAAGTCCCAAAAAATTCAATTAGAACTCAAAAAAACTATTAATAAAGTACCTTTTCGGGGTCATATTCAAGAAGCCTGTTTAACAAATCCAGTCCAGCCTCTGAAAGCATTGGCCTGCCAGTGAAAGATGTAGGCGGGAACTTGTCACGAAGCTTGTTGTACCTGAAAGCAACAGATGAAATGATACAAAAAACATGATAAGCATATCACTCAATTGGGAAGTGCTACCAAGGCAAACTGGAAAGCATGACCACAACCATCCATGGCTGGCAGCCCACGAAAAACAAAATAAATAAAGCAAAAAGGAAATATCAGATGGTTGCATAGCTTATGCACAGAATAAATCTATATCTGCATATGCATACTCACATGTGTCAATATGTAAACAATATTATCTATGCACACATACATATACATGCATATAGAGGCTTGCTAGCATGAATCCCAGGAGGAGTAGCCTCTTAAATATGCTCCCAGGAGGAGTATCCTCTTACATATATATCTGCATATGCATACTAACATGTATTGATATGTAATCAATATTAGTGTGCACACATACATATACATGCATACAGAGGCTTGCTAGAATGAATCCCAGGAGGAGATATGCTCCCAAACTATGAACTTGCAATGATCCCACCTTCAAGCAAACTAAGTGGGGGTGATTCGCATAATTTACCAAGAACAAACCAGTCTTCGTACATGGATTGGGAATGTTTAGCTTGGTTGAAACACAAAGTGCCATTGCCTGTGTATAATTTGAGATGTGAGATTGTAAATTACTACAAATTACCCACACTCGAATGTGATGTACCAGAAGGAAAGGGTATTCAAATGTTTAGGAGCATTTCAAGAGAGTACTTTACATATGGGGTATCCTAGCAAATCCCAGAAACAACAAATGCACACACACAAATGCACAGGCATACACATACAAACACGCGCATGCATGCAAGCACACACATGCACATGCACATGCACATGTGCATCTGTTGAACGGAGAATCTTCAGGTACATTTCAAGCATGTACACTACATATGGAGTATCCCAGCAAATCCACATGCGCGCACCCACCAAACCCCACACACACACGCACGCGGGCGCACACCCACCCACTCACCCACACACACACACAAACACATGTGCACATTGTGAATGTATTGGAAGGAGACATGTTACTTACGGCTGCTGGACAAAGTTGCACTTGACACCAGGCAATTGGGCGAATCCTGGCCATCTCTTTGCATTTGGTGTCCCAAGAACCCGAAATATCTGCATTTAAAGAGAAAGGCTAAGCACATGAGCAACATAATGCAACGGCTGCATAAACAAACAGCAGGCAATTGTTTTCGAATTACCTTGTCAAGTTGGTCAATTTCACTTTTCCCATTGAATAATGGTTCCTTGCTTAAAAGTTCAGCCATTATGCATCCCAATGACCACATGTCAATCGCGGTTGAGTACTCTTTTGCACCTAAAAGGAGTTCGGGTGCCCTGCATTAGTAAAAGAGTTTAGTCATTAAAATATAGTTATTGACAGGTATGGCAAGTAATATATGTAAAACACAGGGAGAAGCAACAACTGTGAAGAGTAAAGTGAGTAATAGTTAAATACTAGCCCATAGAGCAGTTAAGGCTGCTGAATTTACCTATACCATAGAGTGACAACAAGCTGTGTGTAAGGCTTCAATGGACTGCCATATTGACGAGCCAGACCAAAATCGCAGATCTTCAGATCCCCTTTATTATTGAGAAGAAGATTGGATGTCTTCAGATCCCTAAACACATTGTACCACAAAATAAAAACAAAAACCATAAATGTTGCGCCGATGTGGAAAAATAAACCCTTTTCACACTCCAATTGCTACCAAGACAAAGTATGTTATGCCAAACATGTAGGCATACTAGGGAAGATAGCAACTAAGGGAATCTTGATTGCTAACAAAATTGACGAAAAACAAAATAGACCAAAGAGGAAAAACGGGGAAATCAGAATACCTGTGCAGCACCCAATTATCATGCAGATACTTCACACCTTCGAGAAGTTGCAACATCAGACACTTCACCTCGCTCTGACTAAATGGCTCTTTCTTAGTCTCCATTAGCCCCTTGAGATCGTGATCCATATACTCCATCACCATAAATATACTATCAAGGTTGCTCCCAACAACCACTTCTTTAACATCAACTATTGAAGGATGATGAAATGATAATAAAATATTTATCTCTCTCAAAGAAGTCAGCGGAAAGCCTTCTCTTTCCTTCTCCATCTTCACCTTCTTTAGAGCCACAATCTCACCCGTCTTCTTATCCTTCGCTCTATACACAACCCCATATGTACCCTCATCAATTCTATTAAGCCTCTGAAACTCATCTACACTCCGACATCCCTGTAACATGTTGATTGTTCTTGTAGGTGGGGGTATGGGTCTTAAAGGGGTTGTGGGTCTCTCCTCATCCTCAGACTCTGTGTCCAAACCAGAGCCATGTTCAGTGTGGTTTTCATCAATTTCCATTGGGTCATCATTCCTATCTCTCTCCTCTTCATCTCCACTTGTTGAGCGCTGAGAGTTTCGAGTTTCTCTCTCTATACTTGCAGACTTGGGTTGAGAACCATCAGAGCCATCACCAACAAGTTCACCGGCCTCTGGGCTTGCTGGTTTATTTCCCCATCGAATCTCGCCTTCATCCTCTGAAACTTCACCATGAGGAAAGAGATAACTATTGTCAGCCCACCTTGAGGCTGAAATGTTCCTTGCAGGCATGTATTCTTCTTCTTCCTCGTATTTGTGCACAGGGCTTTCAACTAGCTGTCCTGGCTCCCTATCGAAAGCCACATCACCATTTGAAACCCTACTTTCTCTCTCTATTTGAAAACTATCTGTCCTATCGCTACCCTCTAAAACCCTAATTTCTCTGTCGCTCTGACTATCTTCCCTATCAACACCATCAGAAACCCTAATTTCTCTCTCATAGAGACTGTCTGTAACCCTAACTGAGTGCTCAGTATGAGAATCATGTGCCCTAACCACTCGAAAACCAGGAGAAGATTTTTTAATCATCAATTCAGAAGAATCAGGCTGAAAAGCAAGGGTTCCAGAAGGTACCTTTAATGGAAGACCATGAGGCAAAGGGGGAGGTGGGGGGAGAACCTCTGAATCGCCAGAAAAGAGGCCAGATTCTGATAAAGCAACAGCCGTGGGAATTTTCCGGTGAAAATTTCCAGCAGGCTTCACCACCTCATCCCAAGTGATGGGGGAAAACTTCCTTTTCCGTCCATTAGAAGAGGCTCCATTCTCTGCAACTTGAATTCGCTCTTCGGAAGAAGCACTCCCACTCGATAGCTCTCCAGGCTCTCGATCATTGTCTCTACAACTGACCCTCGCTTTTTCCATCCGATTTTGGCCGGAATCCCTGCCTGAATCTCTGGTTTTTTGCCGGAATTTATCCTCTTTCGTGTAACTAAGAGGATCTCGTCGTCGTGAAACTTCAAGGTCACGGGGCCTGTAGTCTGAATCTCTGTGACCACCGTTTCTACTGGCGGCCATGAAGGATCTTTAAAATCTAGGTTTTTTCGCGCTGAAAACCCTAGATCTTCTCTGTGAATAGAGATCGGAATAAGCAAGAAAACACTGGAGAGAAAGAAACTAAATATAAATAAAAAACCAGATAAACGAGAATGGATAGATAACAAGGAAAAGTTTGCCAAGCAAGAAACCCTAGAGTTACAGAAGAAAGAAAGAAGACAATGCCCTAGACTTCGCGCTGGTGAGGAAATCTGTTTTAGATGAACTTTCCTTGTATTCTGCTTAATAAAGGACAAAATATATTACTAAGCCAGGGTTGCACATATCACGCGAATAAAGGGGTACCCCATATTTATAGTTGATGCAGGGCAATGCACTTCTAAATTAAAAAGGTGGGGTTTGCACGGAGCCGAGGCTCTAAACAATCAAATTCGAGCCTATCTTCAAATAAGATCGAGAAAAGTAGTTTTAATATTGAAAATATTTATGATAGCCTTAAAATATATTTTTATATTTAATTATGAAATTTAAAACTTTAAAAATACCGTAGATCGAGCAGATCTACGATAACTTGAAAATCTTAAAAATTGACGGTCCAAAAGCACGCTACAAGATGCACTATTACCAAAACTTGAAATCCATTTTATTTCTCATATACATGCATTTTGATGTCGAGATGATCAATTTAAATATATTTGAGCATCAAAACAACCTCTTCTAGTGAAATTTTTGATGTGGGCTCAAATTTGATTGTTTAGACCCTCGGCTCTATATAAACTTTTCCTAAATTAAAACATGTCTAATGCCTATCTTTAAAGAAAATAGAGACCGAAAGATTAAAGGAGACCCTACATGTAGTAGAGTTGATGTAGGGCATGGCACTTCTAAATTAAAAATATGTGTATAATGCCTATCTTTTAAAAAAGAGTGTGGTTTGTATAGAGTTCAGACTCTAAACAATCAAATTAGAGCCCACCTACAAATAATGTTGAAAAATATGGTTTTAATATTGGAAAGTTTTCTGATAGCCTTGAATTATATTTTCATTTTGAGTTATAAAATTTAAAACGTCAAAAAATAGTGTAGATCGAGCATATCTATAAAAACTTTAAAATCTTGAAAATTGATGGTAAAAAAAATGTGTTACAATATGCACTATTTCCAACACTTGAAATCCATTTTTTCTTGAAATTATCTTGATGTTGAGATGATCAATTTGATGATGTTTGGGCATCAAAACAACCTCTTCTAGTGAAATTTTTGAGGTAGGCTCTTAAATATTTGTTCTCATATTGATGCATCTTGATGTTGAGATGAATTTCTCATATCCATGCATCTTGATGTTGAGATGATTTTCTCATATCCATGCATCTTGATATTGAGATGATCAATTTGATGATATTTTGACATCAAAATAACTTTAAATTTTGAGGTAGGCCTTAATTTCATTGTTTAGCCGAGGCTTTATATAAACTTTTCGTTTAAAGGCCTTATTGGGTATTGAAAATATATTACAGGGAAATAGATTACTAATAAATATAACATTTACTATGTTTGGGTACATTTATTAATAAGAAAATGAAAATAAATAAGATAATATTTTCCCAAATATCGTGAAATCTATTACATGAGGGAGTGTCGGTAAATATTTTATACTAAAAAACCATTTTTTCTCCTTCCTCCTGCATACATCCTCTTCTCCGTCTCAAACTCCTCTTTTCCCTCTCAACCTGGTAAGCTTACCACTTCTCTCTCTCAAACTCCCTTTTTTCCGATCCAAAGCCATTTACCATTTTTAAATTATGGTATCAATTTCTCTCTTCCCATCATTTTACTCCAATACACTCTTTCTCTCTTATTTCTTACTAACTCAACCTTTCCCTCTCTTCATTAGTTCTTTCTCTTTATCAGGCATTGCGTCAACCTTTCTCTCTCTTCATCAAGCGCTTCGTTCATGGAAACTCAACCTATCTTCTCTATCCCACTTTGAGTCTCTCTTCTCTATCCCTCTTCGAGCCTCCTTTCTCGGCACTCTCTCTACAACCGAATCCTGCGGGCAAATTATAATGATATTACTAAATATTTTTTTAAATTATAATGATTACTTGTTTTGAAAAAATTGATTTTTTGGGATTAGGGTTTAGATACAGATAAAAAAGTGATAAATTAATTACACATTGACCTCTTCCAATATCTCAATCTAATTTTTTAAATACTTTACCTTTTCACAATTTTTTTTTTTTAAATACACCACCATTTACTAATTAAAATACAAATTAACTATAGGTAATGGTTGTGACTAAAATAGTTCACTCAATGTTTATGACCAATATTAATTCACGCTATTAAGTTATTATTCTTTGAGGCATGACACAGTATGGTCATGTTATTTATTCCTATGCATTTCGATATTAAATAAGAATGTCTATAAAGAGACCATTTATCTTTGATGAATGGAGGTCATAATCATTCTCAAATATTAAATGTTAAATTGGATGGTTTGAGGTGAGTCTGATTTTTTTTTTTTGAAATTTTGTATTTATTCAATGACAATAATACAACCATCCATTTTAAAATTTAAAAGACAAGAATGATTGTGCGTACAAAAGATAAATGGTCTATTTACAGACTATTCCATATTAAATCACGTCTAGTAACAGAACAAATTTAAAGTATAATATAGACAATTCCATATTAAGCCGTGTCAAGTAAAAACAATGTATTTCCCAAATTGCATCTAAATATTATCAAAACCGTAATAATCCATTCACATGTAATATATTCCGCAATAATATATTTCACATACAATATATTTTCAAATATCCATATTTCACATACAATATATTTTCAAATATCCAAACGATCCCTTAAAGAAAAGAGAGACTAAGATATTGAAGATGATATATATTAGAGAGAGTATGTAGAGATAAAATTAAGGGGAAATATCTTCGTACATCTTATTTTTAGTTTTTATATCTCAATATACCAAAAGATTCAAAATATATATCCTAACCCCTTGCCTAACTTTACTCACTTTTATTTTTTATCTTTAAGCCTATCAAATATAAAAAAGACATGCTCATTCTAAACCCTTCATTTCTTTACGTGATATATTCTCCCCAAATTTATCTCTCTAACGTTCATCATCTTTGTCTCTCTAACAGGAGAAAGAGAGTGAGAAAATAGGTAGCGAGCGATATTTAAGGGAAAATCACGTGAAGAGAGAGAAATGATCGTGTTTAGAAATAATATGTATTTATTATATTTGTTTGGGGCAAAAAATAAGTTCAAAGTGGATAAAGTTGACCTTGGGTCCATTAAGATCTAAAACTTTAAAACGAGAGATATAGAGATATTTTCCCTAAAATTAATAGAAAGATAAACAATGAGACAAATTACCATCTTTAGGGAGAGAAAAGAGGCGGTAAAGAGGAGTATGTGAGAGGATAGGTAGAGAAAATTAGTGAGAGAGATATTAAAGATGTTCATCTTAGGTAAACATATAGGGTTATTTCAAATTTAAAGATATCTGCCTCTAGGACTCCTATGTATGTTAGAAATAGAGATTGTATACTACAAGATTAGTCATCATCAAAGCCTTTTTCTCAACTATTTACGGTCCACCATATATATTGTAAGACTATTTACCTTTATTATAGGGATGACTATTTATCTTTATTATTAAAGGGATGTAGATTTCCAATTGGATGGCATGGAATGTGCCATAAAGTTCAAGAAATATTTTTGTGAACTTTTATTTTAGTCAAATACATAATCACAATCGTCCAATTTGAAATCTGAACCACAACAATGATTGTAACCTCCTTCTATTAAAAATAAATGGTTTATTTGAATAAAATTCTTATTAAATATAATAAATCATATAAAGTAATACGCATGTCATGATTTAATCGTATCTCCAAGGCAATAAAAGAAGGACAAGGTTTCTATGCGGCCAGCCCGCATATTGTAGAAATGAGAGCTTGGCAATAAATTTAATTTTTAGATATAATTTGATCCGAATATTTAAAGAATATATAATCTTTAACATGGAGATCACGTCTATGAAAAAAAATAAGAAGTTAAAATTAGAAATAATTATTATATTAAAAAAACATTTGGACTGTTAGTAACATTTGTTTTTAGATGGACTACCTATTTTCATCCATCTTTAAGATGCATGCTTTATACCTCTAGACCGCATATTGTAGAAATGCGGTCCAGCCCGAATGAAACAATTTTCCATAAAAGAATATTGATCTTTATATTTCTCATATTTCTAAGAAGTTTTGGTGTGGAGGGTTTTATTTTATGTGAGATTTTATAGGAAGGTGAATGCGTAACTCTTTTCAAATCAGTTCTACGTATATATATATATATAGATCTCTTCCCTTTCTTTAGGGGCATGTTTGATAACTGGAAGTTAAATTATGAATTGTAAATTGGAAGTTCCTATTTGTTGGGAAGAAATAAGTTTTTCGTGGATATATATAGATCTATTCCCTTTTTTTAGGGGCATGTTTGATAACTGAAAATTAAATAATGAATTGTAAATTGAAAGTTCCTCTTTGTTGGGAAGAAATAAATTATTACAAGAAGTTCTCAATTTCTGTGTTTGATAATCTATTGGAATGTTAAAGAAGTTACGGGCTTTTGTGTTTGATAACCTCCTTGAATGTTAAGTAAGTTCTAAGTACCTGATAAGGTGCTGAAAGGTTAGGAAGTTATGGCTATACGTGTTGGATTAAGTAAGTTATAAGGTTAGGAAGTTATGGCTATAGAGTTTTATTGATGAGTGAGAAAAGCGCCCTAGAGAAAGATATATATTTGTATAACAATTGCAGCAAATGTTGCATGATAAACTTCATTGCACCTCAAAACTGAAGCAATCTCTAGACAATGTCAAGCACAAGCTCAATTAAATATTGTGTACCAAATCACTAGTTTTCTAATTCATTGTCTTAAAATAAAAATCAATATATATTCTTGACTATTGTGTGTATACAATTTGCTGAGTACTTTTACAATTATGAAGTGGAATATGTATTTAAAACTCATAAGTAGATAGTCAATGCCTTTCTTCTTAAACCGAATACAAATTCTCTCTCTCTCTATGTCTCTGTCTCTATTTCTCACACACACACGCATGCACACCATATCTTTCGACGGTCGTGGTAAATATGGATTTGGTTTCATGTATTCTATTAGACTGGGCTATAATAGTTTGAGCACAATATACAAACACACATGCACAATTCATGCATCCATACGCAAGCAGTAAGAAAGCATTCCATTCAACAATAACATGTAATAGCTTAAATACAACTTGGACA